AATGGTCCCCAGGACATATGCAACTGAAAACTCACACCCCAGAAGTGACTCGAACCCATACTCCCAGAAGCAACGCAACTGGTATGTACAAGACGCCTTAATCCACTTGACCATCACGACCGGACATAATGAGGTGATAGCCGAGGCTATTTGAACCACCCCACCGCCGGCACTCGGATAGTTATCTTGGGCATAGCATTTTACCAAATCACCTCATTCTTTGGGGCACACGTGAGGAACACAAATGCGAACAAGCCTGAATGGTCCCCAGGACATATGCAACTGAAAACTCACACCCCAGAAGTGACTCGAACCCATACTCCCAGAAGCAACGCAACTGGTATGTACAAGACGCCTTAATCCACTTGGCCATCACGACCGGACATAATGAGGTGATAGCCGAGGCTATTTGAACCACCCCACCGCCGGCACTCGGATAGTTATCTTGGGCATAGCATTTTACCAAATCACCTCATTCTTTGGGGCACACGTGAGGAACACAAATGCGAACAAGCCTGAATGGTCCCCAGGACATATGCAACTGAAAACTCACACCCCAGAAGTGACTCGAACCCATACTCCCAGAAGCAACGCAACTGGTATGTACAAGACGCCTTAATCCACTTGACCATCACGACCGGACATAATGAGGTGATAGCCGAGGCTATTTGAACCACCCCACCGCCGGCACTCGGATAGTTATCTTGGGCATAGCATTTTACCAAATCACCTCATTCTTTGGGGCACACGTGAGGAACACAAATGCGAACAAGCCTGAATGGTCCCCAGGACATATGCAACTGAAAACTCACACCCCAGAAGTGACTCGAACCCATACTCCCAGAAGCAACGCAACTGGTATGTACAAGACGCCTTAATCCACTTGGCCATCACGACCGGACATAATGAGGTGATAGCCGAGGCTATTTGAACCACCCCACCGCCGGCACTCGGATAGTTATCTTGGGCATAGCATTTTACCAAATCACCTCATTCTTTGGGGCACACGTGAGGAACACAAATGCGAACAAGCCTGAATGGTCCCCAGGACATATGCAACTGAAAACTCACACCCCAGAAGTGACTCGAACCCATACTCCCAGAAGCAACGCAACTGGTATGTACAAGACGCCTTAATCCACTTGACCATCACGACCGGACATAATGAGGTGATAGCCGAGGCTATTTGAACCACCCCACCGCCGGCACTCCGGCGGTGGGGTGGTTCAAATAGCCTCGGCTATCACCTCATTATGTCCGGTCGTGATGGTCAAGTGGATTAAGGCGTCTTGTACATACCAGTTGCGGTGCTTCTGGGAGTATGGGTTCGAGTCACTTCTGGGGTGTGAGTTTTCAGTTGCATATGTCCTGGGGACCATTCAGGCTTGTTCGCATTTGTGTTCCTCACGTGTGCCCCAAAGAATGAGGTGATTTGGTAAAATGCTATGCCCAAGATAACTATCCGAGTGCCGGCGGTGGGGTGGTTCAAATAGCCTCGGCTATCACCTCATTATGTCCGGTCGTGATGGTCAAGTGGATTAAGGCGTCTTGTACATACCAGTTGCGTTGCTTCTGGGAGTATGGGTTCGAGTCACTTCTGGGGTGTGAGTTTTCAGTTGCATATGTCCTGGGGACCATTCAGGCTTGTTCGCATTTGTGTTCCTCACGTGTGCCCCAAAGAATGAGGTGATTTGGTAAAATGCTATGCCCAAGATAACTATCCGAGTGCCGGCGGTGGGGTGGTTCAAATAGCCTCGGCTATCACCTCATTATGTCCGGTCGTGATGGTCAAGTGGATTAAGGCGTCTTGTACATACCAGTTGCGTTGCTTCTGGGAGTATGGGTTCGAGTCACTTCTGGGGTGTGAGTTTTCAGTTATATATATATATATATATATATATATATATATATATATATATATATATATATATATATATATATATATATATATATACATATTTTTGGTGTTTTTTTGGTATTTATGTTACTGACGTAATAAGAAGTAGAGTAAACATGTGTTGGTATCACTGCAATGGGTCCATATCTCTGCCTGATGGCTCACACTTGATCGAAATTGAATAAGATAATTATAGGCACACGAACGAGCTGTGGAATTGGTTAAAACAGGGACAGAGAGAGAGAGAGAGAGAGAGAGAGAGAGTTTTAGAGACGCTAATGAGAAGGTTAAAAGTTGCAGAATTAAGCGGGAGTTTTAGAAGTATTCAGTAATTGAACCTCTTTTGATGTTGAGTCGTAAAAACAAATTCGTTCCTCCTATTAATCGCATCAGATAAAACAATGGAAAAATGTTACTAGCATTAAATAGTTATAATCTTTGCTATTATACTGTTATTATTTGTATTATTGTTACTGTTATAAAATTATTATTATTATTATTATTATTATTATTATTATTATTATTAATATTATTATTATTATTACAAAATATTATTGATTTTACAAAATACCTTGCACACCCTGGTTATAATATAATGAGATATAACTTTAGACTTAAGATATGAAACGGTGTGGAAATCGTCACCAAATCTCAGGGAAGGAGTCATATCCTAATCCTCAGAACATGTGTCACAGGGAAGGAAGGATACATGATACACAGTGATACATGTATCACCTCCAACCAAACCTGCCATAATCTGTGGCAGGACTATGGCCTAGACGACTGGCAGAGGCAGGTGGCTGGGAGATCACTTCCTGGAGTCCTCTTCACCAAGTTTACCTTGATAACAGGAGGTCTTCACGTCCTCTTTGTGGGAGTCACTTGTGTCAACTGTGCGAGACACAGTCACGTGTGTGAGGCAGTGTTGCAGTAGAGAGGCAGCCGGGTGACTAGTTGAGATGACGAGGAAAGTTTCCCATTCATGTCTGTGTGACTCATCAAGTTACGTGGACAATTATTAGTTGGGTACTCTGGACGTTCTCTTGTGAACATTCCCTGCTGAACATTCGTCACCGTTCCTCTCTGAGGACCGATCACAACACACGACAGCCACTGGATTGTGTATGTATGAATTTATGTATGTATACACACACCCACATACACCATTGGCAACGTGTACAATTATGTGTGATCATATTAAGAAAACATGAAACCACATGCTTAGCGACAAATTTTATAACTACAACACTTAGACAATTATTCATAAGCACAAACTACTACCAATACATTACTACCATTAGGTATCACTAAGAAACTACCACCAATATGCTGCGACTCTCGGTGGAAACAAGCAACCTGACCCGTCAGATTCGGTGACCTTGGTGTCCGCACAACCTCCCAGTTTGCGCTACCAGCCTTTCTTTCCTCATCCTATACGTCACTCGACATTGCAAAAGAAATCCTCTGAGGTAAGAAGGCTCGGAAAGACAATCCTACTTATATTTTATGTTCAAATTAGAAGGAGGTCCTTGTAGCCCCAAACACTCAAACCAGAGTCAACAAATGGTCGAGCTGGGACAACCTAGTGGTGAACAAAAATAGCTGATGCCATGCTCAATGCTGCAACATCACAACAGGGAAAAGCCCCCCTCTTAGAGTGGTGGGTGCCCAGTGCAAGAGGACTTCCTTTTGGCAGTACCTTTGTCTGCTGCAGACAATGGGTCTAGATCCAGTGACCCTCCATGTTGCAGTGGTGCCCCAAATCACACTAAATACAAGTTTAGTTGCAACAGAGTGGAAGCTGACCAATACAAATTGCATGGCTACAGTCATCATCAACAGGAGCCGTTCCTCTTCCTAGTGCCCAGTAGAGAGAAAACTTCGCATTCTAATGGCCCAAAATCCAGGCAATTCATCGCTTTGCCCTGACAGCATCAAAATATGCCCCTGGAAGAGGGTGCAGAAATCTGGTCTGGAACTACACATCTGTGTCCGCTCTAGTTACTATCTATGTATGCTTCGATGCTGAACGAGCATGTGGTACAGCTAATTGCAGGGAAGCTGTGAAATTACAAAAAATAAAAGTAATTTGAAGGGCAGTACACGTTTCTTCCCATAGATCTGAGATACTTTGTCTTTGGGGTAAAGGTGCATTGAAGTTTCTCCGAGAATTGGGTTCTAGGCTGATTGACACTACCAAAAACCCAAGAGCTACAAGTTTCCAGTTTCAGCGCTTCAATGTGGCGATCCAGAGGGGGAAACGCCTGCTGTGTTCTCGCTTCCCGCCCAGAAGCTGAGGAGCCCAAAGAGACCCACAACCTCCAGCCTTTTAGTGTATTCACCAATGTGTAATATGTATATATATATGTGTGTGTGTGTGTGTGTGTGTGTGTGTGTGTGTGTGTGTGTGTGTGTGTGTGTGTGTGTGTGTGTGTGTGTGTGTGTGTTCAAATATATCAATATATTTCAGGAGCATACTTATTAAAAGGGTTAAAGCTGTCCCCTCGACATCGTTGCTGAAGACACCGCTCAGGGATCGCTGGGAATCCTTCGGTAACAACACTACAAAAGATAGTTACTATCGTGGCCCCTTTGGAGCCCCCGCCGGTACAAACCTGCAGAAGCTCCGCGATTTCAGAGACCATTTCTGGCCCATAAATGATAAGATTGCTTGAACTTATTGCAGAAAGTGGTTAACAAAGTTACTTGTACTGCAAACGTAAGTTCGGAATCTTATTTTGGAGAGATCAAAGTTTTCCCCAGAGTTATGAAACTACGAGCGTCACTGGGAGAGAGAGAGAGAGAGAGAGAGAGAGAGAGAGAGAGAGAGAGAGAGAGAGAGAGAGAGAGAGAGAGAGGTGAGGTGGAAAGAGGTCTGCATAATGTAAGACAATACCTAGCAACAGTGACTTCCTGTAAAACACGGGAGACATCTCCCGTCACGCAGGGTGCAGTCGCACCTCCACAGATCTCCAGTATCATCTATTGATACTGGTAATGGCTCAAAAGGGCCACCACTTACGGGCTATTCATGCCCGTGCCACCTCTTGGATGGCTTAATCTTTATCAATCAATCAATCAACAGTGACTATCAGGAACGTACCAGAGAGGACAACAGCAAGGCAGCAGGCGGGGATGATACAGGCGATGAACGTCCCCGATCCTCGGAGACCGTCCATCCTTCCGCACACTCCTCTATCCGGCCAGTTCGCTTTACCCGGACTCCACTAGAGGCCCATCCACCTCGTCTTGGTACTTCTCTACTTCCTCGACGACTCAGGCCTCTAATGCCTCAAGTGTAAGATATCAGCAGCAGTAGACTAGTGATTGTCAACTATAACATCTCGCAATTATAACCACAGTTGCTGGAAACACTCCCTCTATGTCCGATTAAATGTCATTAACATAAAAAAATTCCTAATTATATTTGTGTTTCTATTTTGTAGTTCAGATATCAAATACACTTTTTTATATCAATCTGGAGTTGTATTTCACTTGTTATCACTGCATATAATGTGGTGAGGTTAGGGGATGGTGTGGGATAGAAGCCGGGATGGTGTGGGATAGAAGCCGGGATGTAGGAATAATCCTGAAGGCATAATATTATTGTATTCTATGAAGATTTTAACAGCTCGGTCATAATTTTGGGGTCTTGGTTTAATTAACGTAACACTAACTATTATCCTGGTGACTTTTTTCAATTAATACTATCGGTTGTTTCGTTCGGTGGTGGAGTTCTTGGCTATCAACCTCAGGAGGGTTATTAAGATCACCTCATAATGTTAATTTATTTCCTTCTATAGCTACATCTATGGTAGGAAATTCCATAGCTACGTCTATGGTAGGAAATTCCATAGCACAAATTACAAATAATTTGTACAAATAAGTACAAATTATTTTTGTATGGGTGAGGAAATCAATACAAAAATAATTAAAGTTAAGAGGACGCCATTACCTAATACCTTCCTCTTGATTACTGCGAATATGCAATATCCCCCACAACGTGACTAATGGGTGGGACTTGAACCACTCAGCGTGCACCTCGCCGCGTTGTCATATAATGTCTATATAGCCAGGGGCGGTAGACAACAGCCAGGTCTCGTTGTTAATCAATGTTCACGGTTGCCAACTGGCCAGCTAGACTATTATAGCAATAATTTGATTGGGTATTGCTATTTATTTAGCAATTTTAGAAATTTATATAATTCTTTTCAAATACATATATATTTTTTTCCCCGTAAATAGCCAGAAAGTTCTGTTGAATATTATATAGATGCTTTTGGGTGTATAACTGAACAGATGCTCTTAACTTCTAGCAATGAAAAATCTCTTATAAGTTTGTTATAGAAAACTCTGCTGCTCCATCAGTCTTTCGGAAAATTTCCAATGTATTGAAAGTATTGTTGACTTTTCAAATAAAATACTAATAATCATATTACCATCGATAAAAACGACGCATACATCAAATAATTTAAACGTGTTTACAATATCAAACTTAGTAATTGTTTTAATTCTATAGTTATAGTGTGCTTTTTATATAAATATTGTCCATATCTGAAACTAAAACGATATCACTAGAATCAACGCTATTAAGTCTATCATAATTAGCTGATAACAATCTGTAGAGAAGACACAGTTATTATAATATGGCTCTTTAACCATAAAGCTACCGGATGATTAATTCATTTTCTTATCATATGATAATGATTAATTAAATATTTGATAATTTTTATCTCTGAAAAGTACGGTGGTTTAGTCAAATTATAAACAAAAACACACCAAAATAGACTCTATCTCTGTAATTGAGTATTTGAGTTCGAAATTAAGATATACCGTTTAGTTTCGTACGTTTTTGGTCAGACAAAACCACTTCATGTGGACCACATGTCAAATCTTGAGAACAGACTGGTGAGACAGCTCTCAAATATTTACTAAAGGATATAAGCTTCGAAAATACAATGAATAAACACAAAATTACAGATTAATATTCGATATATTCCTTTCAAGCCCCAGTTAATATATATGCGGTAGATTTATAATTAAATCACTTTTCTGCTTCAATAGAATCCCCCCAAAAATAAAAATATATATAATTAAGAAAATTTACAAACGGAAAAATCACAATGATTCTCATTTTGAATATTTACAAATCGAGAAATAGTTTTAGGCGTTTTACTGCGACGTTTCCGGTCGACATCGAAAAAAATACATATTTTTCCAATTCAATTTACAATGATGCCAGTGAAAGGCAGCAAGTATTATAGTTTGGGATGGCAGCCAAGTGCAGCCAGGGAGAATAGGCAGGTACAGCCAGGGAGAACAGACAGGTACAGCCAGGCAGGATAGGCAGGTACAGCCAGGGAGGACAGGCAGGTACAGCCAGGGAGGACAGGCAGGTACAGCCAGGGAGGACAGGCAGGTACAGCCAGGAAGGACAGGCAGGTACAGCCAGGGAGGACAGGCAGGTACAGCCAGGGAGGACAGGCAGGTACAGCCAGGGAGGACAGGCAGGCACAGCCAGGGAGGACAGGCAGGTATAGCCAGGAAGGACAGGCAGGCACAGCCAGTAAGGGCAGGCAGGTACAGCCAGGGAGGACAGGCAGTTACAGCCAGGAAGGACAGGCAGGTACAGCCAGGGAGGACAGGTACAGCCAGGGAGGACAGGAAGGTACCAGGCAGGTACAGCCAGGGAGGACAGGCAGGTACAGCCAGGGAGGACAGGCAGGTACAGCCAGGGAGGACAGGCAGGTACAGCCAGGGAGGACAGGCAGGTACAGCCAGGGAGGACAGGCAGGTACAGCCAGGGAGGACAGGCAGGTACAGCCAGGGAGGACAGGCAGGTACAGCCAGGGAGGACAGGCAGGTACAGCCAGGGAGGACAGGCAGGTACAGCCAGGGAGGACAGGCAGGTACAGCCAGGGAGGACAGGCAGGTACAGCCAGGGAGGACAGGCAGGTACAGCCAGGGAGGACAGGCAGGTACAGCCAGGGAGGACAGGCAGGTACAGCCAGGGAGGACAGGCAGGTACAGCCAGGGAGGACAGGCAGGTACAGCCAGGGAGGACAGGCAGGTACAGCCAGGGAGGACAGGCAGGTACAGCCAGGGAGGACAGGCAGGTACAGCCAGGGAGGACAGGCAGGTACAGCCAGGGAGGACAGGCAGGTACAGCCAGGGAGGACAGCTAAAGAGGACGCCCAGGGAGGAATAATAATAATAATAATAATAATAATAATAATAATAATAATAATAATATTAACATGGAATAAAAAAAACCTACTTGTGTATTTGTCAATTTTATGTAAGGAATTTACACCAAGTCTTTCACACTCTCCTGAGTGCTTGGTCAAGGTCTGAGTGTGTGTGATTAGGACGAGACTTACTTCTCAACGTCTAATCGACTAATCGACTAATCGTGATTAGACGTTGAGATCTAAGATCCGTCCTAATCACACACTCAGACCATGACAAAACACTTAGGAAAGTGTGACAGACTTGGTGTAAATTCCTTACAAAAATTTCACAAATATACAAGTGTGGATTTTTTTTCTTATATTATTATGTTTGTGAGAAGACATTACCATTACAAATAATAATAATAGTTAATAATAAACATGACAGAATCATTCAAATCTTCACTGTTTAATGAGGTTCGAGTCTTAAATTACATTTCAGTGGGCGTATGTTACGAGCACTAGACTGGGAACGCGCGTTCGAGGTTGCTCGCGCCACCATGGACCTAACTGGCACTCTGTATCACAGTTCCGAGGCCCTAGTCTGACTGTGGAGGGAGAGTGTACGGTACTAGGCAGTCGGTGCAGTCTAGCGCGCGCCCAAGCTGGTACACATCCTGCTTCCACCACTGGTCAAACCAGACTGAGTCTCTCACTCTCTCTCTCTCTCTCTCTCTCTCTCTCTCTAGCCTCTCCCTCCGCACTTCTAGCCGCTCCGTTCCTCGCTCTCTACTCTCCCATCCCTCGCTCTCTTATCTCCCTTACGCTATCTGGCTTCTCCCTTCCCCGTTCTCTTGGTTTTCCCCTCTCTCTCTCTCTCTCTCTCTCTCTCTTTCATATCCTCTCGGCTCTCCATTCCCTTCTCTTGTCTCTCATCTCTCGCCTCTCGCTCATCCTCTCTTGCCTCTCACTTGCTCACTCTCTTCTCTCTCCAACTTTCTCTTCTCTCACACCCACTCTTACGTCTCTCCATCATCTAATCTCTCCCTCTTCCTCCTTCTCTTCCACCCTTCCTACAATACTCTATGCCATTCAATTTAATTTTTTCTCCAGAATACATATTCTGCCGAATATATAAATATATATATATATATATATATATATATATATATATATATATATATATATATATATATATATATATATATATATATATATATATATGTGTGTAAATCACGAAAATTAACACGTGATGAAAAATATGACAGTGTCAGACCACGGAGGAAGAATTGAATCAGGAATTTCCTTATGTACTTTTCGTATATTATTACATCTTCAGAAGGAATCATTCCTTCTGAAGATTTATTAATATACGAAAGTACTTAAGGAAATTCCTGTTTCATTTCTTCCTCCGTAGTATGAGAAGTGAGTTCTGGCTACTAGTACACATATATATATATATATATATATATATATATATATATATATATATATATATATATATATATATATATATATATATATATATATATATATATATATATATATATATATATATATATATATATATATATATATATATATATATATATATATATATATATATATATATATGTTGTTGAATATGACCGAAAGGGTAAGATTAATAATTCTAACACGAATCTTCGCAATATTTCTTACGTTTTTCTTCACTGTCGAGGGTAATTGAAAAATTAACTCTCCAAAATTTATTTTTAGCAGAAGACTCGACATCAGCGAGGTACTACATATCAAAAAGTCAACACCGGTAATCAACAGCTAATTTATGCATAACTATATTCTACCCACTTCAAGACCCCGAACCAACATAGAAGCAGCACGAGAAAGTATGGGCCAATAGGCCTTCGTTTAGGCTCATGTTCGTTTTTCAAGGTGAAAAAAAAAGTGAATTACTATAGAAGGTATAGCATTTATTATACAATTGCACAACGTTTCGAACCTACATGGTTCATTCTCAAGTGATAAGAAATTACAGATCTCGTTAGATTTATACCAGTACGGGGTCACGTGAGAAAACAAGTAGAATAAAGGAAAAGGCAAGGGGATAAATAGGGGGATAATAGGGGACGAAGCACATACAAAGATTAATCGGGTGTAATAGACCTATTATGTTGAGATAATAGTTGAGAACCCGCAGATCTTCATCACTGGAAGATCTGCGGGTTGACCAAGGCAAACATTATCTTTTTAATTTCAGATCAAGTCCACAATATTCGTAAAATTTTAGCAACACGCCGGTGGACGACCCTTTTTGTTGCACCATATTATTCGAATTCTGAAAAGATCAGAATATTTACCATGATATCTGTTTTTACTGAGGATTGTTTCGT